GTTGTTGGGGAATTTTACTCTCACCGCCTACTACAATATGCGCAACTCCAAAGTCAACCCACAATCAACTAGATATAAAACAACTACAATCAAGAAAAAAAGAACACCAGGATTTACGTGGTTCGGTCGACCAACTTCGACCTACTTCCACAGGGCAATAATACGAGAAATTCATTATGTATCAGGGAGCATTACAAGAGGAACCACTCAACTCTCGTCTCTCAATCTCTCAACCTTACATACATAATCAACTATCATATTCTCTCCAAAGCCCACTCCTTATAATCTTTTGTACGGATAAAGATCACAAAACCCTCGCCTCTCGCACAATATTCTTGAATCAGGCTACGCCCTCTGCTAACCCTAGATTACAAGAATATTGGCGCTCTCTCTACTACATCTTCTCTCTACTCTCTTCTTCTTAGTTTTTCCTCCAACAATAGAAGAATATATATAGGAAAACCAAAACCCTATCTCTAGCATAACTTCCTAATTAGAATATGATTTAAACTCCTAATCATGGTGGAACCCAGAATCCTAATCATGATAGATCTCTAACCCTATCTAATTCTCATGAAGTTCTACAAAGAGTCAAAGACACAATCCAACAATCTTCACCTTGGATTTGATTCCCAAACTCCCTTGAAGATATATCATCATAGTCTTAAAACTTTGCCTCTCCCACTAGAGTTTTCTATTTCTTTCGCACTTCAAATCGAAGCAACCATACTCCTAATCAGAACACATGTACTCCAACTGGTTGTCTCGTGACCCTCACTATCATCTGCTTCACATTGACGCTTCCACCTCTCTTGTGTACACCAAGAGATTTTCGCCACCTTAGACAATAAAAGCAAATTAATCATGCTTGTCCTCCCAACTTAAGCCTAACAATAGCCTTCCCCCACTTGTTGTCCTCGTACTCCACCTCGCTCGTCTCGAATCATATCGGTGCACCTCTCCTACTCCACACTACGAGCCGAATGTTTCTATCTTCTCCATCACTTGGCTTGGATCGAATATGAGCGCTCATCATCTTCAAGTCTAATGCCACCATCTCCATCAGCATGTGTGTCACTCAGTCGTGTCTGCTTGCAAGATCCACCTAATCTGGTATTGTCCTCCTCGAGTCTACACACCAACCAACTACTGCTCCCGTGATGGCTTTGAATAATTATATGCTGACAACTCTACTACTAGAATCATATCTGATTCTCTACGCTAGTCTCATTTGTCGCATACTCATTTTCCCTATCTACCATCAGATTTGTCTTGACATTGAATACCAGATTATCGAACTTCAGACCCGAAGAAGTTATCATTCTTTAACCACAATCAAAAATCAAATCAGTCACTGTAAAGATTAAATTTGTTAAAACCAATACAAAAAAAAAAAACTCAGCATGTCGAAAAACCCTAGGAACAACTCCTGAATCACCAAAATTCGCCTCCAAATCCTTGATCAAAAGACAAATCAATATCCACTGTTGGATCTGTGTGAACAGTACCCGCCGAGCCGCTATAGTGTTCCAGCTACAGTATCCGACAATAGTCCTCGGCCGCTATAGTATACCGCTGCTACATTAAATTTTTTCTTTTTCTTTTTCTTTTCATCTCGATTCTTGTAACGCCGATCTTCAATCTTGCACGACGTCGTCTTCTATCTTGCGAATTTGATCTCACTAAGTAATAGACACAAATAATACGCCAATGCAAACTCTAACACACAAAGATGATCACGGAGTTCGGACCTTCCATCCTACGTCTCTGCTCCCCACTCCCTGGGAGAAATTCACTATCACAACCGGGTTTTCTACGCTCACCCAAACAACGTTTACACCTCACAATTTGGTTTTCTAGTTCACCGAAAACTTTACAACACATACAGTTGCAATCACACTCTACACTCTCTAAGTGTTGGTCTCTAGCCCGTGTTTCGCTCAAGTCCTCGGAATTATGACCTACTTCTAGGCATTACTACCGATGCCGCTCCTCTTGGGACAACCCCGTCTCTCACCACACACTCCTTTCGGTGTACAAGTGTGATACAACGTGTAACTCACAATAAAACTCAATTATAATAAAATATTCTCTAATTGGATGAGAACTCAATGTAAGCTCAATCTCACAAATCACAAACCCACAACCCAATATATGATGTATGAAATGCTACAAGCTCAAATAGGGTGTGTGTGATAAAATGAGTATAAATAAAATCTAACTCAATTAGCAAACTAGCAATAATAAGAATATAAAAATCAATAATAAAATTGCTAGAGAAAAGATTTAGAAAAACTTCTCTATAAACACAAAGAGGTTGTAGAAGATTGAGGATGAATTCCTCAATTAAAAATGCAAGCCTCCTCTTTATAAACTCAACCTTAGAAACTTACAAAAACTTTAAAACTCTTTAAACTCCTCTTTAAACCCTCTTCAAAAACTTAATTCTGATGAGAACAATAGGGGTTTATATAGGAAGAAAAACGAAGGCACAAAACCCAAACAAATCTAGCAAAAGACAAAAAAAAAAAAAAAACAGAAGGCTCGAAAAACTAACCGTTGGGTCGTCAATCGACTGATACTGTTCATCAGTTGACTGATGAGCTGACCGTTACAGGCCAATAACACATCATCAGTCGACTGATGAACTCTTCAGTCGACCAATGACCTCATCAGTCGACTGTGTTGGCCTTCTTGTTATGATGATGTTTAACAAATAATTTACAACTAATGTCGATTGTCTAGTATTTGTGGTTTTCTATTTATTATAGACAAACAACATGTTAGAGGATGGATGGAATCAAGCATTCACGATCATATCCAATGGAGGTTGGCGAAATTGTGGTATGAAGCCATACAATTCAAGTTAAAGATTCAAATTCAAGCTTCATCCGTAAAGTATACTGTTTGTGGGAAAATTTGCAGTAAAAAGACAATAAAGGAAAATTTGATTTGTATTCCTTTAATCTCAGTTACAATTGGATTTCCTGATTACAAAAGAGAAGAGAATGATCTGGATTCTCCCATTTGTTTAATTCTGGGTTCTTCACGGTGGCGATGAGATGCCTCCCTCGAATGCTCGCGTCGAGTTTGCTCTCCGTTGACGATCCGAATATCTTGATTCACTGGAACATGGTCTTCTCCTCACGATTTGACGTTGTGGAGAACTCTGAACGAGTTTAAAACTCTATGAAAGAGTTGATTTAACCGAAAGTCGGTTATAAGCCAAGGATGAAGAAGAT